GAGCGCGGGCTCTACGCGCGCTCTGATTGGCCAGTGTTTTTCGTTAATAATTCAAAAATGAAGCTTCAAACAACATTTTGGTAAAGGAAAAAGTTGTTCAGAGTCACCCTAGCAACCCCCCATTTCCGGGTGTTACACTCTTTACTAGACACCCTGTATACGTACACATCATTTGACACTATACAAGCAAAACCAATTTTTATTTTTATGATATATTATGTAGAAACAATTTAATTAAAGTAATTTATATTGACATAAAGTAAAATAATAATTAATAATAATTAAACCACTAATAAACAATAAAGGAATTAAATGCGAGTGTAGATATGACAGTGTCTGTCAGTTGGTGAAAATAGATTTGCTTGAATTAGTTGATGTTTTTTCTTCTTTTCAATACTTCTTCACCATATACTATATTATTTATTTTTTGTTTCTTATCTAGAATTTGCATTGTAAAATTAATAATGAAAAGAATCACAATGTAGAATGACTAAAAAATCAGGAACAAAAGTAGTGTTCCTAAATTGCTGTTTATTAAAAGTACATTCGAGTTTCCTAAAACTTATTAAAAGTACATAAGTACATATCTCGTGTAAGGTGTTACGATAGGGCCTCAGGTTTTTGTTTGTTCAATGAGTCAAATGGAATATTCAACTATTAAAATTTATTATTACTAATCGCTCAGGATTCGTTTAGGAAAAACGAAGGTTTATTTTATTTGACCCTTAAACAATTTAACTCTTAATTGGACATTTGATGAATTCAGCACTTAACTTAATGAATTAGCTTTTAAGGCAATTAGCCGCGGCATATATTGCATCGGTAGATGCGGAACGACATGTATTGACGGCTTGATTGTTGCAAGAGGATGTTGATAGGATTATATTGCTTTTCTGAGATTGTGCGTTTGATTGTAATTGTGAAGCCTCTTGCTGGTATACACGGATTGATCTATTAACGAGTCCTACTTTTATACTCATACAACTTGCCATTTGATTAATGTTCGAATTATAACATTGCAAGGCAATGTTGTCCAACTCATTGATCAGTTTCTGTCCGTCCTGAAAGTGTAAATCGAAACGCATTAAATGCAAACTGATAATGAGACTTAAATAATATTGCAAGTAGGTAGATGATTTTATAAGTATTCCTTAAAATATTTTCTAAAGCAGACAAATTCGATTTGATCAAATTGATCAATTATAGCACAAATATAATACGTACTGCTTGCAGTGCGTCGAATTTCAGCAGTTGTGTCTGAAGAAGCTGTTTCCCTTGACTGTCGCATCTGTTGAGTTCGCTGCGTGCTGCTTGACTACCAGATTTCATATTACTAGCCACATTATTCAAACACTGGTCGGCATCTTTGCCTGATGCCTTAGCTTCTTCTGATTTTTCCTAACAGTAATCATCCACGTTAGTATTTCAAACATTTTTCTTTGTCTAATCATAGTTTCAGCTAATGACGGGGCCTGAATCACTTCACATCTTTCCGAATATTATTTAACCCTTTCGCTACGACGGGTGACTATAGTCACCCACCACAAAATTTCGTCTTTAAACTGGGCTTAAAACATTAAAATATTAATTTTAATTAAATACGTTCATGGAAAAGTTATAAATACATTGCTATGAATAAAAATTATTTTGCTCCTAAAAGCAGTGTTACAATGGCGTTTTTGAGACGAAAGACTTGGCCCCGAGCGCTGAAGACCGTGCGTGCGCGCAGTGTCTACACTTTTGGCGCGGCGCGTCGTTCTACGGGAGGGATTGCGCGGCGAGGACCGCCGTAGCGAAAGGGTTAAAATTTGAAATTTGTGAAGACTTTGAAAGCCTTGATA